TGTCCTTAGACCAACCATCAACCACCATACCTGTTCTCTGCCAAACCTTCTCTGCTGTGACTTGTTTCACTCATTCCAAAACCTTACGTTACTCAACTAGTTTTTTTTTTAATTTATTTACTTACTTTAAATCAACCTTCCACAAAAATGTTCCCTTCATCCAAATGTGGAATTTATCTCCAAAAATATATATGAAGTCTAACATAAGCAGTAAGCAGTACTGCTTCATTAACAGAAAGAAATCTCTACTGAGAATTTGCAAACTTAGGGGTTCCCCCTTCCTCCAAAACCATATTAGAATGGATTTTCATGGGGATAGCAAAAGATATATTCCAAATACAAATTTCAAGTCCCTGCTTCAAAACCCAGGGGCATTAGAGCTGTTCAAAGACAAAGCCCCCATATGTTTTGTTTTGGGGGTGGGGATTAAATGTTTTTTCCCTTACCTTGCTTTGAAAAAATCAGAATCGGTTATGCAGAAAATTAAGCAGAGAAAAGCACTAAAAGCACATTTAATGTAAGACAGACCCCTGGCCTGAACAAATTTCAGTCTGAACAGTTAGTTTATAGGGATGTGCGAAGCAGGCCCTATTCAGTTCAGATTCAGATTCAGCCCAAATCAGGGACAACAATTCGATTAATTGATTCAGATCACTCTCCCTGATTCGATTTGGCCAAATCCAAAGATTCAATGAATCAGCAATTCAAACATAGATACAGCTTGAAATGTTTTTTTCTACATACTTTGGGGTTCCAGCGTGGCTTGTGAATGCTGCGATGCGGAGGTCCACAGACTGTCCCACAGGAGTGCAGGGTTGGGGGGCCCTCCATATGCTTGGTGGCAAACTCAGAAGTGGACCGGAAGTACTTCCCGTCAACTTCTGGGTCTGCCAAGGAGCACACTGGAGGGCGCCCCCATGCCCTCTGGCTCAGCAGTTGGCCATGGGGGGAACCCTGGGTGCTCCCCCAGACCCAAGAGGCACCAGTCGCCAAGCCAGAGAGGTGCAGGAGGCCCCCAGCATGCTCTCCAGTGGACCTGGAAGTTAACCGGAAGAAAGTACTTCTGGTCCACTTCCGGGTCTGCTGCTGAGTGTGCTGG